AGTTTATTTTTCTATGCATTTTTGGCTCTTTGATCGTTTTTGTAAATTTCTGCTTGACCCGAATAAAATCCTAAAAAGCTGGTTTGTGGTAAGAATGGTGGAATGTTCTAAGAGTTGATTAACCTATCTTTTGGTCAATGTTCATTTGACTGTTTGTCCTAAATTTGACATTCCTCACACAGAGCGTTGATTGTTTCATTTCCAACTCCATGAGAGAAAACCTTTGCACTCAAATATTCCTGACACCTGTGAGATCAATGGAGTTGAGGCTTCTACTTGGTGAATTTTTCAAAGATGCATGTGTTATGGTCAGTGGTAAGAAAGTTATGGTTTCGAGCACACACACACGACTCTGGAGTTATGACTGAAATAATCTTGATAGTACCTTTTGACTTTTACTGACACTTTAAAATACTCAGGTGACTAAGCTAGTTGAGACTCGGATTTTCTTCGTGACATGATTTCTCTTGCGCTTGGATTGCTAGAGACTAGCAATAAGCTGGTTGGGGGTTGTGATTAGTACATGAAAATGCACCTTAAATACTGCTTTTGATTATATAATATTAAAATATTTAGGCTTTAATTAAACAATTTCATTATTTTTATTCATAATATTTTTCATTGGAATTTGTTTAGTTGTTGCTTGATTATTTACAGATAAAAAGCAGTGTGAAAAGCTACAATAAAATAAGCCATGAAAGCCATATTTTCAACAACCATGAGCCAAGCCATTCAGCTAAGCCGAGTCAAAGCCACCGAGCCAAGCCACTGCACAGTCAGCGCGGAAATCCGCGCCTGTTTCTCCCGCCATCGCGCGCCTCGCGCGTCAACAGCACGCGGCACCTCAGGGAGCGCGTCCCATGCACGCGCGTTCTCCAGCGCTTTCCAAGGCTTTCCTCGTATGGGCCCCACGTCTGCTCACGCCAGACCTGCCGCTCACTCCGCACGCGACACTTGTCCAATGCGGGTCCCAGCTGTCCTCCACTCTGACTCCGCGCTAGCACACTCCACCACTCCAAGCGCGACACGTGGTGCATTTTCTCCTCACTACCAATCAAGCGTCGACACGTGTCCCTCCTGTGCTGAATCCAAATTCCTTCCCCAAAATTCAGAGCAAATTACCAGATTTCTTCCCAAATCAAATATATGATTTCTCCTAATTTTTGTGTAATTTTATTTTGTTTCCTTTTCTTTTGTAATTTTCTAGTTTTACTATTTATTTCCTTATTTGACAGGCAACCTCTGAACACTATAAATAAAGGGGTTAGCCTAAGGTTTTTAGAAGTTTTTATTCAGTTTTCTGTCGTTTTGCTGTCAGTCTCATATTTTCTCTCTAGAACTTGTGAGAATATTTTGCAAGATAGGCTAGAGTTTTCTTGGTGAGGTTAGAGATGAACTTCTGTTGAGTGATACAATTTTGAGTTTTGATTCCTTGTGCTGTAAAGTTCAACATCTGAATGAATTAAATCTCATCTATTTTTCTATTACTTTTCAAAATATTGTGTGCCAATTTTTATATAAGTTCAGTCACGCTTTTCTTATGTAATTATGTCACGCATTGTTTTGTCATTCAAATTATTTTACAAATTGTCTTTTACTCCAATATTGTCAGATTGATATATTGTCGATTTTAGATAACTTGTAATGATAATATTTCTGGAGTCAACATAGAGATTTAATTTATTCAGTTCTTTTATTTTGTGAATCAAAACTAGAATTGGTGAACGAAACATTAGGAATTCTCGACACCTTACTGTTTTTATTATTGAATTTTCTTCATACAAATTCCCTCATTTCTATTTTATTTGCAACAAAAATCCCAAAAACTCTCATTTTTCTTTGATTCACTTTTCTCTAACGCTCTTATTCTGTTAATCATTCTTGTTATTTTGTTACCTCTCTGTGGATACAACCGCCCTTCTGTGTTACAATTGACCGCTTGTGAATATCACTTTTGGGCGTTAATCAAGCTCTAATGAGCTTTTTTGTTAAGTAGGCATTATAAGTTTTGATTGGACACAAGAATTGCCTTAAATGGATAATCGTGTAAGAACATGAAGAATTAAACATATTTAATTATGTTAATTGTGATTTATTAGTGTGTCTAATGTTGATATTTCTTAATTAATCATGTTATTATTAATTTTAATTACTTTCAATTTTGAAAATACCCTTTAATATTTTTCCCCTTCTTTTCTTTTTCTTTTTCCTTTTTCTTTTCTTTCCTTCTCTTTCCTTTTTCTCTCTATCCTTTCTATTTCTTTTCTTCTCTTTCTCCGCAGACCCCCTGCGCTCTCTCTTTCTTTTTCTTCTCTCTCTCTCTCCTCTGTTTCCTCTCATGTCGGCCTCCCCTCTCTCTTATTCCCTCAACCGCCGACCACCCACTCTCTCTGCCTCTCTTACCGGTGTTTTTCCTCTCTCTCCCTTGCTCTCTCTTTCTCTCATTTTCCCTCTCTCTCTCTCTTGGGTTGTTCCTGCCAAAGCAAGAAGAAGAAAAAAAACAAAACAGAGAGAAAGACTCTTCAACCAATTTGAGGTAAAATATCTTGAGAAACCCACTCTTGTATTTGAATTCTTGGTTTAAGGAAGTATGATTTTGGTTAAGATTTGATGAATTTTGATTTAAGTTTGGATTTGGACAAATTATGGTCGAATTTAGCTTAAATTTGGGGGTTTTCAGTTCTTGAGTATATTGAAGTGTTTGAAAACTGGTTTTAGCAATTTTTCATAGATTTATCTTGAAACCAACTTGAAAAGGTGAGTTTTGGTATTGTTCTCGCTGTTTTGGCTGCACCTTGCTACACTATGCTGCACTTTGCTGCAGCTTTGCCGTAGCAAAGTTGCAGCAAAACAAAAAAAAAGAGAGAAACTTTAACTTGGATTATGAAGTTGTTTCTAAACTTTGGACTTAAGTCAAGGCACACTAATAGGAAAAAATTGTACATAATTGAACTAGATTCGTTTTAGGGGTGAGATCTCAATTCTCAAACATTGTTTTGATGACGAAGCTAGCGGTACGATCAGACGTGGAGCTTCAAGAATAGACGGTAGGACAACATGAACTTATCCGTAGTTTTTACATTCGAGAGGTAGGGTGTTCTTGTCCACGACCTTGTTAGCCTATTTTAAATGATTTTAGCTTATGAAAACGTTTTAAAAATAAAAACGTATTTGACATTATTGAGATTTAAAGAAGAGTTTTAGTGATATTTTCTTAAAATGAAATATTTTAAGAACTGGTAATATGCGTGATGGCCTAGAGATTGGGGTATGGAGATTATAGATGCAATGTACGCCGCCTTTCAAGGGATGGCTACCCGAGCCCAAAATGATCGTCCGGCTGAGGACAGGAAGCAGTGTTACTTCCTTGAGTTCATACGCGGATCAATTCCTATGTTTAATAGTGAGGGTGGGCCACAAGAGGCGGAGTACTCATTTGAATCCATCTCGAAACACCTAAACACCATGGGAGTACCTAAAGAATATTGAGTGGAGTTTGCAACAAATAAGTTTAAAGGTCAAGCTAGCACATGGTTGAAATAGGTCCGGAGAATGCATGATGTGGGGACTATGACTTGGGACCAGTTCGAAGAACTTTCCAATGAACAGTATTTTTCCCAAAGCTACCGTGATGAGAAAGCCATGGAATTCATGGGGCTGCAACAAGGGGACATGAGCGTAAGAGAATATGAAGTTATGTTTAACGACCTATCTCGATTTGCCCCTTCCTTGGTGGAATCGGAACACATGAAGTGTCTTAAGTTTGAAAGAGGTTTCAAAAGTACAATCCGGAGATCGTTGGTAGCTCTAAGGCTTCATGTTTATTGAGACTTGGTAGCAGCAGTGGTAACTGTTGAGCAAGACAGGTGGCCTATCTTCAATGTAGAGAAGCTGTAAACAGAGCATCAGGAGGACCTTAGCGGAATACTAGGAAGAACCGTAACTAAAGGCAAACCAGTGGAGATGCAACGAGTGGAAGTAGTGGTTCTTCAGGAAGAAGTGGGAGTGGACCCTACAAGTATAGATGTCATCATTGTGGACAACTCAGGAACATAAAGAGGGACTAGCCCAA